AAAGTCCTTACCAACTGTCACAAGTAAGCGGCAGTGGTGCGTGGCAATTGAAGTGCAACCTCCACGGGCAAAAGTTGTTTGGCTTAGTGCAGCTTTCGCCCACGCTGTCCTTGTTGCTGTCCCTGTCTGGCGTTTAGCTTTTATTCGCCTAATTTCCGCTGCGGCACCCGCATCCCGGCGCTAATTGACGCCGCTTAGCGTCAACCGAAAATCTATAAACATGAAACACAGCACAGCCACTGAGACGCGTCCTTGTGACCCGGCACGAGGCGCCTCCCTACCTCGGCTGCAGCGTCGCTTACTTGTTTTATGTGCGCGTCCTTAAGCATAATAAATCTGTTTATCTCTGTGTGCTTAATGGCTGCCAATGTCCTGGCATTGTCCTCGGCCCGCTTAAAACTTGCTGCTGCCTTACCTGGCAAGACGATAAAAACTTAGCTTGCGCCTTTTGTGGCTGCCGTCGATACCCTCGCCAAGGGAAGACATTTCAATTTTGTCATTAAATATGTAAGCATTTTTTTATTGCTCTTAATTGTAGCTCATTTATTTTATGAATATTTTCTTTGTAGTAAATGAGCTCCTTATAAGCCTGATTTAAGGCTTTTTCGTATTGAATTTTAACACATGGATAACACGTCTCATATGGCTTTAACTTAAAGTCTGTAATTATCCTTAAGATAAGCTAATCATTATTTTAAAATATGTTGAGTCTGTATATATGAAGTTCTGTATAAAAAGCAATTATGTTCTATATAAAATAAATTCTTCTCGCTTCTATTAACATATTTCCCAACTTTCTACTAAATCCTTTAGCTACCATATTTCTCCACTCAACCTAATTTCTATAACATTGAACCTTAAAGCGTATTTTAACTTCGTCTTAATTCCTTTTCTTCAGTCGGCTCAAAAGAGATATTTTTTCTTTCTTTCCCTGTTTATGTTTAAAAATTTGTCAGTCAAATTTGTGCGCTATTTGTTCAGCTTATGCCAGACAGAAGTTGGCAAAATAAAGATTTACTTTCTGGAATCTTAAGAGCCTGAATTGAATTTCAAGCGCCACAAAGTGAAAAAATTCGACTTGTTCATTTCCTTTGAGGCTTTAGCAACAGCGCACGGAACCGACCCAAGCAGGACAACATCGCGTGACCGCCTACAACTTTCATTTCACTGCTCTGCAATCGCATCCAATCCAATCCGTTCGCTGTCTGTGGTCGAGCCAGTGGACACCGCAGACAACTCCCAAGTTTCGCGTCCAAACTCGAAGGAAACCGCAAAATGGCAAAACAATCAACATGCAACGAGTCGAGTGTTGGACTACATTGTCCTACATGTGTGTGATATATATAGATGTGTATATATGCTGTGTGTGTGTGTCTGCAGGATGTGTGCACCGGCAAAAAGTGTGAACAACGAACAAAGGAAGAAGGTGGCAATTGTTTGGATTGACAAGCGAATCCAACTGCAGTTGCCAAAAGAAAATCGAATCGGTTAGTCAAATTACCAGTGGAGAATGTGGCCACAACTTTATCAGGCGTTGTTTTAACTGCATTTACTCCTGGATTACAGGAGTGTGAACAGAGACGGTGTCTCTAACTACGCTGAAGGCTTTAACTATGCGAACTAGTTGGTGTAGTTTGAATCTTAATATGTATATTAGGATAATAAGCTGTTCGTACAACATTTCCACAAACGTGGCACCATAGAAAGATTCAAGTTTCAGTCGGCAAATGAAAAAGTAGAGACAGCACAAAAAATGGCAAATTGCTGCAATATTCTGATTTAATGAAAAAACAAAGAGTTTCAAATGTCCCCATCCCCACATACAAATATATAATAATAATAATAGCTCAGCAGTAAATAGATTATATGATACTTTTGTAGAGGAAGAAAAAAGATTCTTTTTTTTTTCAATCTGATCGGTAATATAAATTTTATTTTTGTTGACCTAAATTCAACTCTCTGTGTTAACATATTATAAAAATAAACTATTTCCAAACAGTATTCCAAATATTATATCTTGACTCAAAGAAGTTAAGGCAGAAGAAAAAGCAATTAAAATAAATGAATAATTAGATCTAAGGATAATTTTCGAACATGTTTTGAATTATTAATGACAAAGGCAAAACATTTCTATTACTAATTTCGTTTTTTAAAATTTAACATAATTTAAATCCCATTTACAGTTAGATGTATATCTGAAAAAAAGCCAAAAAATATAGACTTTTGCACTTTTGTATTAAAAAGTGTCGAAAGAAGGAAAAGTCTAGTTCTTGCCTAAATAAACTTAGTTAAAATATTTTAAAGCATCGAACTCACAATGCCAGAAAGAAAAATCTAATTCTTGGCTAACAAAAATTCGAAAAAGTAACTCAAAGTTTGGAACTCAAAATGCCAGAAGGAAAAAAACATATTTTTGGCTAAAAAATTTCAACACATTTTGTTGGCCTAAGTCTTATTCATTTATTATAAAGTATAATATGTATAATATATATATAAGTATAATATAAGTATAATATATTATAGAGTAAAATAAATAAAACTAAGTTTTCAATAACAAAAACATGCCCAATTTTGAGGCAAGCCCAAAACTAGTTGAATAGAAATGAAATCAAACATTTTTAAAGCTTTTTTCTGGGCGTTGCAACAAATCCAATTACTACTCTCAAAGTATTTGTGGATAATACAAGTTGCCCTAAGCTTATTAAAGCGCTTAAATGGAAATAAAACAAAACAAGCGCAAAGTTTGCGTGTTGCCCATGTGCCCACGTCTCTGGCTGTGCCGCTGCTATGCCTGCCTACTTCCGTTGCCTTTGCAACGGTGCTGCCCCGCCCACTTCAGCTGCGAGTCTAGCTAATTCATTTTGTACTTAATTGTATTTCTAGTTTCTCAATTTAGGAGTCGAGTGTCTGTTGTACAAATCCAATTCACAATTGGCCGAAAAACTTTGTGTGTCTACGAGTTCGCGCCGTTTGCCTGTTACTACGCGCAGGCCAAGGAAATTCTTGGTCAGAAGACTTTGATGAAGTTTGCCAACGGCCAGCAGCCCCTCGCTCACCCCCGCGCGTCCCACCGGAAGTGGCAGCCAAAAGTCGAGCGTCAAGTGCTCCACTGTGTTGTGTTCGCTGCCAATTGGCAATTGTTTTCCTCTGAAGTGGGTAAGTAGTAAAATCTGACAGTTAAAGCCTTAAACTAGGCAACAATATCGAACGTCGTAATTTCCAACTAAATTTCTGCTATTTGCACTTGAGTCAAAGCTGCAATTGGCACTAACTTGAAACTTTTATAATAAGCGCATTGAATTTCATTTAATATGGGCACAATGTGAAGAAGTCTAAAGTTACAGACTGCAAAATACTCTGTTAAAAGTTCTTTAGATAGATAGCTGAAGTTTCTCAGTCTCCTATTGAAATGCCATTATACTTCACCTTAATTTAGTACTTAGTGTAGCAGGATGCTAAAAGGCATTGATTGATATCAATTTAATAATTTGGCCAATTTGAATTTCTTTTGGAATGTTGAGAGCTTTCGACTCTCAGCTTTTGTCAAGCAGCAAGTTGTATGCAAACGATTTTTAAATATATTCATTGCATCCAAGTTTTTGGAAAAATTTACTAAAAGATTTTTGGGGCGCGGAGTAGCTAAAGAATCGGTGGGCGTGGCAGGCAATGGCAGCTGTTGCCGCATGGCGAAACTTTGGACATCAAATGAAAAAGAAGTGGACTGGAGGCAGCTGATGTTGACAAGGCCCAAGAGACGGTGCTGGGCTGGGCTGTGTTGGCTGGGTGGTAAATGGTGACAGTTTAAGTGTCGACTGTGTAACGGTAAATTGCATGCAAAAGTTGACGCTAGATGGCGCCAGTCGTGCCATTACAAAACTAGCATCAGCTGTGTCGCGCTTGTGCCATTTAATACAGCTAACTGTGTGTGTGTGTGTGTGATTGTGTTGTGTGTGTGTGTGCAGTATGTAATATAAAATGGAAATGTGATTAGGAATTATTTATTTACTAATTTAAGTGTGCTTTAGTTAAGCAAGAAATAATTATGTTTGCCTTAAATGTTTATGTTGTTGAAAGGGTAATAAATTATAAAAATAAGTACAAAGTGTAGAACTTACTCTCGATTAATTAAGATGTTGCTTTTCAGCCTTTCTAACAGCCTGACTGCTGCCCCAGCGGCTGGCCGTTTCTAGTTAATTATTTCAATAAGAAATTAATATTCTTTTATTTTTAAACATTTATTTACGCTGAGAGAAAGTTAGCTACAGCTTAGCTTTCAGTTAATGTAGCCTTAACACTTTCAAGTAAAAAGGACATTGCTAATTTGTTCCAAAGATAAAAAAGGACTATGTATACGCAGCAATCTTGTGTGCCAGTCGATAAACATTTCTATTGAGGGCACATGCAATTTTTGTAGAATAAATTTGTTGAGAAAAGTTCAATCAAACAATTATATTTACATGGAACATATTTTCGATTTAAAAGGAACATGTGTCATGTGGAACTGTCAGTAAACAACTCAATGCCTTGATTTGTATGCAATCCTAGGCAGTAAGCCTGCGCCTAAGGATCACAATGTAAAAACCGTCTACGTGAAAGGATGCAAAGTTAAAGCGCAGTTCAAGCAGCAATTGGAGCAGATACTGAACAATGCTCACACACTTCATTTAGAGCTCTAAAGTGCCACAAAGCAAAGGCAAGCTTCAAGCCTGAAATTCATGAAACCATAAAGTCAATGCTTACCAAGCTAAAGTTAGATTGATATATAAGAAAAATGGAATATGTAAAGTTCAGTGTACTCTTTTTTATTATCAAAGATAGATGCACAGCTTTTGCATTCCAAACTCTAAACAGTTTCTCAAGGATTTCATTCCGAAAAGCTGTAAGGGAAGGGCGCTTCGTGAGGACAATAATTAAATCATGTTTACTTTGTGTCGGAAACAAAAAACGAAATGTAAGCAGAAGCATTATATCAGAAATGTTGATAGTATCGTACTGGTGTTTCAGTTGGACAGTTGATATCTGGGCTTTTGTTGTCAAAATCAGAAAGTTTAGTATTTGTTTCTGAATAGTCTTTGATCATTTTAAAAAACTCGACATTTTCTAGCACAAAATTCAAACACAAATTCCGTACGAAATTATTGTGTTTTTGTGGTATGCGCCAAGTTGCTTAGCGCCTTACGCAAAGCATCCACAAAACAAAAAAAAAAATCATATCCAGTGCCGTTCCCCGTACCAAGAAGAAAACCGAAATTCCTGCCGGAGCGATCAGACTCTGCATTGTCTCGACAAACGTATCCTTATCATAGGGGACACAGCTGTAAATGGAACGTGCAAATGTTTACTAAATTTTTAATGGATAGAATGGACAAAAAATTACAGCAACAACAGCAGCAGCAGCAGCACCAGCAGCACCAGCACCAGCAACAGCAACATCTACGTCAACATATGCAAGCCCAACCGCACTCGCATATGCATTCACACTCGCATTCGCATCAGCAGCAGCAGCAGCAGCATCAACAGCAACAGAACCAGCATCATTCGCAACATCAGCATCAGCATCATCATTCGCACTCGCATTCACATACCTTTCACTGCAGTCAGCAACATAAGCCACTGACGCATCCCTTGCAGGCCAAGCTGGTGGCTCTTGAGGCGAAGCTGAAGCAAGGCTCTGGATCAAATTTAACAGCAGCAACGGCTGGCTTAGCAACATCATCTGCCACGACGGCAATGGCAGCAGCAGCAGCAGCCACGCCAACATCGGCAACAAACAGCAAGAAGTCGCATCAGCAACAACAACAACAACAGTTTTCCACTCGTTCGGTGGGCTTGAAGGAGTCGGCTGGCAGGGAGCGTGAGCGTGATCGTGGCAATTGCAAGTATGAGGCCAGCATGGGCATGTTGGGGCGTTACTGCGTGTCAAACACTGTTGGAGGTGGCGGTGGCGGTGGCGGTGTGGCCGGTGCTCAACAACAGGTGGCGCCACAGCAGGTGCTGCCCGTGCTGCCGCTGTTGACGCAAGTGCAGCGTGTGAACAACGACTTGACGGATAAATTGTCCCGCATGGCACGGCGCAATACAATTAAATTCAGAGAACTAGCCGCCCTACAGGTACAGGACAAGAACACAGAGGCGCTGCAAGAGCTACAGACATCCATACCGGAGATATCGAAAATCTTCGATGTACATTGTCGGATTGGCAGCGGCACCTTCTCCACCGTGCTCCTGGGCACTCTGCAGCGTGAACGGCAGCTGCCGGAGTCGCAACGTCGTCGCTTCGCGATCAAACATCACAATCCAACCAACCATCCGGAGCGCATCTTGCGCGAATTAGAGTGCATGTTTCGCATGGGCGGCGACCACAATGTGATTGGCATCAATTGTTGCATACGCTACAACGATAATGTGGCCTTTGTGATGCCCTTCATGAGCCACGATCGCTTTCATGACGTCTATCGCAATCTGAGTCTGTTCGAGGTGAAGGACTACTTGCGCAATCTCCTGATTGCGCTGCGCCACGTCCACAAGTTCAATGTCATCCATCGGGATGTGAAGCCGAGTAATATATTGTATAATCGTCGGACGGGCAAATTTTTGCTGTGCGACTTTGGCCTGGCGCAGCGCCTGGCCGACGATGGCAGCTTGATTCAGGCATCGGATCTGAGCGGTGCCGCCGCCCTGCTGCGCGATATGGACGCGGCACAGCAGCAACTGTTGCGTCACGAGGGCTACAGCGTTCAGGCTGAGGACGAGGCAGCCGCTGCACATCGCCAGCATGCCGATTCGGAGCGACGAATGCGTGCAGCTGGCGGTGGCACCACCGCCTTCGGTGAGTCGTCCAATCTGCTGCTGCAGGAGCCGACCAAAAAGGATTTGGCCGCACAGAAGGCGGACACCCAGCGATTGATTAATCGCCTGCGCTACACGAACGGCAATGTGGATCCAAACAACTACGTGGTATCCACGAATAATACGCGTAAAGAGATGCATGCCTCGAGGGCCGGCACACCTGGCTATCGCCCGCCGGAGGTGCTGTTGCGCTATCCGCACCAGACGACAGCGGTGGATGTGTGGGCAGCTGGTGTGATAATGCTATCAATGCTATCCTCGCTGCATCCGTTCTTCAAGGCGCCCAACGATTGTGCCGCTCTATCGGAGATAATGAATCTCTTTGGCGATTTGCAGGTGCGCAAGACGGCCTTCATGCTGGATCGCCTTGTGCTGATCACCCAAAAGGTGGCCGCATTGGATTTGCGACGCGTCTGCATGCGTTTCCGTTATGCAAATCACTTTCTGTCGCCCGAGGTGCAGCGACGCCATCGTCGCGCCGATGGCAACACCGAGCTGTGTCGCCACTGCGAACAGCCCACGTTCAATTGCATTTGCAAGCACAGCAGCCACATACTAGAGACCTACGATGGCCTGGATATGTTCCCGCTGCAGGCATACGATCTGCTTAGCCGCCTGCTCGAAGTGAATCCGCAGAAACGCATCTCAGCCGACGAGGCGCTAAAGCATCCGTTTTTCAATGAACATCATCGCCTCATCAGCGGCGTACCGTTTAGCCAATTCACAGCGCCTGTTGCCGCTCTGCGGTCACGGGAGTCGCTGCAGGCAACCGGTTCGCGTTCCCTAACGCCGTACATCTCCTACCCGCCGGGCGTCAAGCAAATGGCCGCAGTAGAGCTGGGCAACAATCGTACGGCAGCCACATCGACAACCCATGTTTGAGAGTCAATCGCATATATACAGTTCTTTTCGCGTTTTTGTACGGCCGTCGCCCATACGGGTGCTAGCAAATTTTCAATTGAAAAACCGCCAAAAAAAAAAAAGGAAAACTAACCGAGAAATACCAAAAAAAAAACCACGATCACGAAAGCGAATTCCAAGTCGAGTCGTGTCCCGAAATTTGAAATGTTAAAAACCTTCCAAATTTCCGCTAGCAATTAAATAAGAGTTTTGATGTTTTGTTCTTTTTACCGGTTTTCAAAATTTTTCATTTGTTTTCTTTCCCATCAAATATATATATATATATATATATATATATATATATATATATATATATATATATATATATATATATATATATATATATATATATATATATATATATATATATAATTGAGCATTTGAACTTATCAGATTTATCATCTGCCTAAGTATGTAAGTATGTCTATATATATATATATATATATGTAAGTATGTCTATATATATATATATATAGACATACTTACATACTTAGGCAGATGATAAATCTGATAAGTTCAAACGCTCAATTAGTTCGAGCTCCTGTCAAATATTGTCCCCTGTTTCAGGCGGAGACAACGAATCATTTGATTTTTTCTTTCAGTTTTTAATTAATTTAATATTAGGCATATATCAAGATCTAGCACATAAAATATCTTGATTCAAAATATGCATTTTAGTGCTTCAATTAATATTTCTTAAGTTATTTTTGTAGCTCATTCATCTGATCCTGAGAACCGCTCTGAGTACCCCCAACCAGCATGAGTGTATGGTAACTCATACAAAGATCGCTGCATTCTGATATCAGCACAGATCGCTCTTCTCATCCAATTAGCTTTGATCAGCTTAGATTTATAGCAATAGTTAGTATGCAACATCTGTTCCAAGAAGCCTTGCCTGTTCTGTGCTCCAGCCTCAGTTACACTCACTCAAAATAAGCTTTGCTAGACTATGACATTATTTCTGCTTTCTTTAAAATGTATCATGTAATTACAGATATCTGTTTGTTTATATATATATATTGAGTCTCCTGATTTCTCCGCTATTGCATTTTTCTAAACAAGTATATTATATTTTTCTATATAAATATTCTATATATATTATATAATATTACAAAATGTAAAAGGAAAATGTAATTTAGCACATTTTCTCATTACTTAACATATATATTCAACTACAGTCTCTATCTCTCTGTCTCTTCCGCACTCTGTCTCCATCCCTTCCTTCATGTAAATACTCTTAATATAATTTCTTTAGCTTACTTGCATTATTTTTTATGCACTGCACCTAATCTTCTATATTTGCATTTGCATTTGCATTTATCACATTTTCTGACATCAATTCCCAATGTATTTGTTGCCAGCAGCAATTTTACTTAATTGGTTTGCGCTCAGCTTGACAACAACAAATATTCTTAGCTTTGTCTATCGATTTAGCATTTATTGACAGCAAGCAATTCCCTTTTTTCTTGTCTTTTGCCGGCGAAGAAAACCACAATCAGCACAAAATTTATTGGCTTGACTTGTTGACAGTATCAACAAAAGCTCGGCCAGCTGCAGTTTAGAAGCGAACCTTTACATATTATTGAGCGAACTGTTTGTGTTTCCTTGGTGTCGGGTGCAGGCGTGCATGCCCTTTGACTGAGAGGGTATGCTTGACTAGATTTTACTGCATATTAAAGTACGGGTTGCCTTAGCTAATAAGTAAACTGTTCGTTATGCAGGTGAGCTGGTAAAAATAATTGTATAGCCTCTTTACTATTTTTAGTATAATTTGACTATGGAATTTCCTTCATACTCTTCTTCATATATTTTTTGTATATTAAAGGCGTTCATATAGAGAAGCACATAGCTGACACCAAATGAATATCTGGAAAATCTTTAATATATTTTATATAATATATTTATAAATATCTATTTACCTTACCATATTTTATTTTTATCCTTATAATTATTATTTTTATTATATAAGTTTATATATTTATATATAAATACTCAAAACATTTCAATAATATTTAAGTTTTATTATTATATAATATTTTTAAAATTTTTAAAAATAAAAAAGAATCACGCAGCGTAACCCTTGCATTGCTGCTGTTGGTTAACATAATGTCAGCTGCAAACGGCATTGCATACTTTTAGTCTGCAGTTTAATGCAATGTTACTCTAAAGAGCTTCTATCATTTAACATACTGTTAACAGGATCCGTGGGCAAGCAGGCCAGCTTAAGATACTGTTAACCGCTGCACTCACGTACAAGTTTGTAAAAACTATTGCATACTTTTAAGCTGCTGCATATAACCTCTGTTACTTAACATAAGAGCTTACATTTAACAGTGGCTTTGCATTTTGCGATGCAGTCTTTGTGCGAATTTTGTTCACAAGGATTTAAATAAATACACTCACACACACAAGAGTACTTACGCACACACACCCACAACCTGACACACATTAAAGGCTTTTAGCGGCTCGTTTGGGGCTTAGTCTCAGTTACCATTACAGCCAGCTGCCATTCGCTTCATAGCAGCCACGCGCTCGAACAGCTTTCAACTTCAGCTTTGCATTCTTTTGCAACATCTGTGCAGCTGAACTCCAGAGCTTCCTGTCAGCCCCTGGGGTGCCATAAACATTTCTCACACTAACCGTCGTCGTCGTCGTCGTTGCCGACGTTGCTGCCACAAAAGCCGCGAGCGCAGCTCGCCGTACACAATGCGGCTTATCAGGCCAAGCGGCGCAAGCACCAGAAAAAAAAGAAAGAAAGAAAAACAAATATGCCGTAGTCAGTGTGTATCCGCCCACACATATAGTCGCGTCCTCTGCCTGGGCGCTCCTGCTTCTCGTTTTGGGCTGCGGCTGTAAATGGCCGCCGACACCATCGGGCGCCGCTTTATGGCACATGATAGATTAGTCTGGCCACAGGTGTGTGAGTGTGTCTGTTTGTCTGTCTCTCTGTCTACCTGTCTGTGTGTGTATGTGTGTGTGCGGCTTACAGCAACCTCTGTCCGTGGCCATGTTTTTTCCATGCCTTTGTTTTTAATTTTTTTGTGCGGCTTTGTCAGACAGTCACCGGTAGATAACAGTAATTATGTAATTAGAATGTCGCTCAAATGTAGGCAACACTTAAAGCTACTGCCGTAAAGCTTGTTACACTGTAACTCTTCAACTCTATTTATAGACAGGATGTGACCATAGCATGTGCTGTAAGCTGACTCTCGCTTGGCATTCAAAGGGCAATAGATTTCGTCTTTATGCCACTTCAATTACTGTTAATTTATTATTTAAGTAGTTTACTATACAAAATAATTCTAGAGACATTTCATATTAGTTCTTAAGTTGAGGCTGTTAATATTTAACCTAACGTAGCGAGATTAAAGTCAAAAATGATACCAAAAGTCAACAGGGAATTCAACCACTTTAAATCGTCGTGCTCCTAGCTGTGAGGCTGAAAACTTTAAGTCAGCTACACGGCTTCATTTGACAAGCCATTTAACATTTAAAATAGGCAACAATTCAGATCAACAAATATTAGTTGCAAAAATGCAAATAAATGAAAAGAATTTTATTTTCATATTTTTTTAATTTTTCTTACATAACTCTTGTGTATTTCTAGCATTATGCAACACTGTTCTCTATCTAAAAATTATATTAAAGATTTAAGATTTACTTTGTCTACAATATTAATATAGCCAAACAGTTTACAATTTGACAATTCCGACTGGCCTGTCTCCTGTCTTTGATTAGAAAGTATTACGCAATTATGCATTTATGCAACACTTCTTATTAGATAAATCTCCAATAGCACAGCAATAGCGAGAAATCACAGAATCAAACAGCTCATAAATACATTTGACAACAGCAGCTTTAAGCACAACAGAGCTTAGCCGTGCTGACACGCACTACAGATTTGCCCTTTTTGACGTTTTGCAACACTTAAGCTGTGCTCAAAAGCCTTTACAGCCAACGGGGCGTATGAGGGCACCAAATGTTGCATGCGGTGCAATGTACTGACCCCAAGCAAACGCTGAAATTGTTGACTTATCCATGGCTCATGTCTGTCCCGCTGTCTAACTGTAACTGTACATCTATCTGACTCTCGGACTGTCTGACTGTCTGACTGTCTCTCATTCTGTCCGTCCGTCGGTCGCTGTCTTTCTGTCATTTTGTTTGTTTGCTCGCCTGTCGCGCTTTGTTTGCCATTCGCATGCGTTGCCACGTTAAGGCAAGTCAATGGTTATCTTTGCACGCTCATCATGAGCATCCAGGGATTGGGGCAGCCATAGTAGCCAGGGCAGCAACAAATACAATAGCAACAAACGCATCCATATCCACATCGATGATGATGATAATGATGCCAATGATGATGATGAAGTTGTTTGTTGCTGCTGCTGCTGCCATTGCCAGCTGCTGACAACGCTGTTGGTGTCGGGTCAGTAAATGAAGAATGATGGACCAGCCAAGCGCAAGCACGAGCACATATCATGCACAGCCACCCACACAGCCACCCACACACAGCTAGCTGGACTGGCACTAACCATATGACGTTGAATATTTTGTCATCTTCAACGTGAGCCGCTGCAAATGGGATTTATGCAAGTTTCTCTATAGCAACTCGCAAAAGGTGACAGCAGCTGCTGCTGCCGTTGTTGTTCTGCTTCTTGAACTTGAAAGTTAATTGGAAAATTTTAGCAATTTGCTAGCTATCCACGTGTTGAGCGAACTTCTGCTGCTATTGTTGTTGTGGCCAATCGTGAAATTTGCTGTACGAAATATGGATTTATGTCAACAGCAACAGCAGCAGCATTGGACAACAGCAACAGCAATGTCATGCTGGGAACATTGCAGTCATTTTTCGCGCTTTTCCTGCATCGTTGTTGTCGACATTGTCAGCTGCGAGCTGCTGGCAATGCATCACTGATTATGAAAAGCTGGCTAAAAGCTGGACTCATGATATATTGCTTTTGTTGCCGCTGCTGCTGTTGTTGCTGTTGGTTTTTTTTTTTTTGTGGTATCATTGCTGCTGCGCGACGCTTCTATTGCCATCAGCAGCATCATCATCATCATCAACACCAGCAGC